TCACACGTACGGTCAAGATCACCCAAGGTACGCCATACCCCGGAATTTACCCGGGGTACGATAGAAGCCACCATATATATATATATATATATATATATATATATAGAGAGAGAGAGAGAGAGAGAGAGAGAGAGAGAGAGGAAAGCCAAATACAATGCAATCATATATGTCGCAATCGTCCCTCGGGCCGGGTTGCGGTCGCTTTTGGAGTTGCCATCGATCTTACTTGGAGTGGATCGAACACTCTTTGGTCGGCTCTAACCTTAGGGTTAAAACCGAGGCTTGGTCTGCAAATTAGAAATCCAGATTCGGGAGTACGGTTACGTGTGGGGAAGTAAAATTACACCCCACAACGCCCAAAATTGGTACTACTTTAATTGATAAGTTTATATGTGTTGGGTGTAGTCTAATAATTATGAATTCTTGGGTCCTACTAGAACATTTATACATTTTTACTTAAGTTATGATTTAATTGTACGTCCACTGACGTATATTTTAAAGATAAAATTGATTTGTTAGTTGGACTCGAACCTTATCGGTTGCCTAAGTACCCGGGACACAGGATCAAAGTCCACGTAGTTCGTTTAAATTTTTTTAATTATGAATTTTTATCACGTTCCACTGAATGTGAATCTCATTTTAAGGATTTTGTTAAGAAAATTGTATATAAATAGATAAATATGGAGTTACGAAGTGAGTAACATATTGAATCTTACCCATGAAAGAGGAATAGAAAATGACTAAATTTACCTACTTAAGGATTCTTTGGGTATAAAAATTCTTATGAAGAATGTTGAAAAACAGAATTAAAAAATGAGAGCACATTTGTTGAGCATATAATCCGAATTTCAATGGTGAGAAATCAGCTATAAATAGCTGCTAGGTCTTGTTCTTCGTCACTTTCTCTCTGTAGAACTCTGTTTTTGCTTTAAAAAGTAGAATCCCCTTCCTTTAGCTCGAATCTTCCAATTTAAATCTGGGAAGGGGAAAAACACCGCGGTGTTTTTATGTAACACGATCGTGTTCTGATGAAACACCGCTGTGTTTGTGTCTTGTCTACGCCAGTGTTTTGCTCTTTGATCGCCAAATTCGCGACCTAAAAAGCACTGATGACTGCAAGGTGAAACACGGTCGTGCTTTAGACAGGGGACGACGGTGTTTGCCTCTCGAGTCGCTAAACAATCTCCAAATGACCCAAAACTTGTGCCTAAGTCTCTTTCTACCAGCTAGGACCTGAAATGTGGCATTAAAGCACAACCTAGCATAAAATGGGCCAAGAAACGACAAATTCTAGCCAATACGATAAAGAAACGAGGGTGCAAAATGTGCAAATATGGTGCTATCAAATTTTCCTCACTTAACCGTTTGCTTGCCCACAAGCAAACCAAGTGAGACACAAGGTAAGCTCAAAACATTTTAACCATGCAAACTTTGGAGACACAATATAGAGACACAAAACACGTGAATCATACTGGCTATTTGACATCGACACAAGAACAACAGCAACCTGGACAACAACCACATATGACATTCAAGTGCAGCAAAATTGGGAAGAGGAAGAGTCTACCTTCCGTTCACCAACCAACATAGACTTGACTCTACCACTTATTATAAACAGTCACTCGTGCATAGAAATCAAGACATCAGAATCAAGACCGATCAATCTAGGTTCTCACCAAGATATGTAGTTTGGAAAAAATGAATCACTCACTCTCTACCAGCGGGGTCAGGACAAAGTTTGATGCAAAATATGTGCATACTCATACTTTCAGTCACTATCGTCTATTCACCATGACAAAAGCCTCGAAATGCTAGAGTTCACATACCAGGTGTTACCACTAACTTGTCAGGAGGACTTAACAGGGTTCAAATGCAACTGGCTAGGGTCTAGGACATGGAGAACAAGATTTTCAGGTGGTGGTAACATTCATGACACAAGGTTCCACATTCCATATCCAACACCGCAACATTCAATCAAACCAATTACTTTCCCTATGTTATTCCGCACTAGCCAAATCCTTTAGAGCACAAGAGTGAAGGAGGTGACAACATGTTAGTATTTCCAAGTCAGTCTACTAAGAAACACTATTGTCTATTTATGAGCATGATTGAAATTTTGTAGAACACTCTTTTGCTTGCATTTGTTTTTTTTTAGAGAACCACAACTCTTGCCCCATTCTTTATCTTTTCATGCGCATGCCCAAATTTTAAGAACCTCCTCTAACACTCACTTTATTTCCAGCAGAAAACATGAAAGAACCCACTGTGGAACCTCTAAGAGAGGCATAAGAGTGATTTTTCATTGTAGACACAACGAAAGAAGGTTACACGGCACAAAGGGGATGACTAAGGGGTATGACACAACAAGACAGTCAATTTGGCCATGGGCTACTCCTTTGCCTCAATCTTCCTAATTAGTGGCGACGTGAATACTACACATCATGGTAGGAGGGATCTATCACACAAGAAAGAAACGAACAGACTCAAATCTCACATGGCTACCTATATGCTCTATCTCTCATTTTGATTCCTTAACCTCTATGCACAAAGACTATAAGAAATGAGTGATCAAACCAAGTCATAGTCGATAAACAAACAGTTTAAAACTGAACCCCTACACAACTCTATTGCACGTCTCAATAATCATTATAGGTTGTCTTAATCACAAACAAGTTATCATGCATCAATGCTAACAACCAATCGATTCACCACACAAAACCACGGTGCCCATATAATCATGCAAACATCAGCAATTGGAGCCCTCAAATCGAAAGATTGGACAGTGGAATAGGCTTCAAGCACACCAACATATCCAAACAGTCAAGGGTAAATCCCCGATAAGCACTAAACACCACTGACACTTAAGTTCAACATTGCTCTCAATGGAGTAGAAGGAAGGATAAGGGGAACGATGTTACTGCCTTCGACCGCCTTAGTGTAAACAAACAACTCTGCTTGTTTAATGTTCTTGGCAATCAAAAATTTGACCATGGCATCTACTTCCGCCTGAGTGGTTATGATAAATTCCTCATGCCACAACGACCCGCCTTGTCTGTTTGTATATGATACACCATACGATCAACTCTCCTCGTCCACCCATGAAAGTAACCTCAGTACAAATTTGACGGAGCTCTTCAAGGTTCGGTCTCGTAGCGACCTTCACCTTATGAAAACTACCATCGATGTAGCGTACCCCCTTTTCGGTGTCTTCCGTATAACCATTCCAGCTTAACCCAAGCGTGAAATTTTGGAATGCCATCTGCAATAAAACAGTAACTAAATTAATACCATAAATTTGTCAACGTTAATCTCAAAACAAACTTACGATAAAAAGTAATACAAAACAAACTTACAAAGTAACGTTAATCGCTAAAACTCAAAACACAAATTGTGAAACGGAAAATTAAAGAAGAATAGGAAGATGGGTGAAGTGTTGAGGTTTCTAGGGCTTCCTTTTTTAGGCAAAATGTCAAGTGAAAACCGCTCCCCCTAGCGGTTTGCTCCAGACATGCAACCGCACGCCCACAACCCCCTGCATGGCGACATGTCGACTGTCGGGAGAATGGGGACTACACACAAACCGCCCCCCACAGCGGTTTGTGTGTCGACAACATAAACTGCTTGTTGAAGTTCTATTTTTGACGTAGAACCGCTCCAATAACAAGCGGTCCGTTCTAGGTCAGTCGCAGAACCGCTTTAGGGAGGGGTAGTTTGTGACAAAAATGTAAACCGCCTCCTCACCATGCGGTTCTCTCACAAGCCGCCTCACATGTGGCGTTTTCAAGAAATGGTGATATTTGTGAAATTTTTTCAGATTGGGTGGTATTTTTGTATTTTTTTCAAACGATGGTATTTTTGGGAAAAAAACCTATATCAGGGTGGTATATTTGGTTGTGAATTTTTTTTCCGAAAATTTGTAGATCTTAATGGATCACGATTAACTCGTTCTTTCTATTCAAAAAATTTCAAAATTAGAGTTCAAAACGAAGGTGGTAGAGAGTGACATTAGGTGGTACCAGGGTGCTACATGAATCGTTTCCTAGAAATATATCGAAAAAAATAATCTTGTAGATAAAAATGAACTCGTTTCATCTGTAACTTTTTTTTTTACATTCAAGTTAAGATAAAAAAAATATACAAGTCGAAAAAGTAAAAAAAATAAAAAGACCTTTTAATGTCAACTGTTAGATCGATACCCACTCAAAACAAAAAAAAAACATCAAATTTAATTATGCACAAATCCATAATTAAAGATTTTTAGTCCAAATCAAAAAGATAGGCCGTCAAAATCTATAACTAAAGATTATACGTCCTACCCATACCCAACCCATCTAAACCACAAAGTGTGTTGTCAATTTCACTACCCACCTCATATCCATTGAATTCATTTTCTCCTTTTTTTTAAAGATGGATAAGATTGATCAAGGGGTATGTTTGGACGAAATTAATTACCACATATTACCCTCCTCTCTCTTCCTCTAACGCTAAGTGACCTCTCTTCCTCTAACGCTAAGTGACTCCTCCTCTTCCTCTCTCCCTCTAACCTTAGCAGAGCAGCCACCCCCTCCTCTTATCGGCGTCATCCTCCCGCCGTCGCCGTCACTGTCTTCACGTCGCTGCCGCTGTTGCTGACACTGTCACTGTCGCCACCGCCACCGCCTCCCTCTTCCCCCTCCTCATCTCCTCTGCCCATCCACTCCTTGTCGCCATCGTCACTAGTTCCAGAACGCTCTAGGCTGATAGGGGAATTTCACAAACAAAAGTCTGTGGTCAGAAAAAATCTATCGTTCGGAGACAAAAACCTACTTGAAAAGAAAGAGACAGAGATATATAAAGACAAATATATTTAATGTAGGATATAATTTTTTTTTAAAAGGCAATGCATTCAATATGAGTTTTTAATTCACAAAGTATAATTAATACTTTTTGGCAAATACCCAAATTACCCTCCTGAAAAATCACAACCCAGCCCAGGCCACCCCTTAATTTGCCTTTGCCTTGTTTCACCTTCCTAGTCTCTTTCTAGTTCTTTTTGTGGCTGGTTCGTTTACCCGAACTCTCCTTGCCAGTAACGTTGTCGAGTGGCGACACAATGAGAACCAGGAAAGCGAAGCGTCCAGGTGGAATCGACTGTCCAATTGATCTCGAATCGGAACCGGAATCACCATTGTCCGTTTCAGGTATCTTCGCAGTACCTCACCGCCTCTCCTCTCGGCTGTGGCTTCACATTCCCTGTGGTTTTTATATTCGTTTATCTAGTTCAGAATCCCAGTCTTTCGTAATCTAATTCTGTCTTTCAAGTTTTGTAAAAGCAGCTTTCCAGCAAACCCAACTATTAGGTTTCTGAAACAATATAGGGTTTGCAGTCCCAGAATGATTTGGGAGTCTGATGAGCTGCTTTTTCCTTGTTCGAACCTCATAAAGACGAGTGCTGTCAAAATCGCGATTCCATATAAAAGTGTTTTGGTGATCTAGAAGCGTAAAACTATACTTGTAAGGAAACATACGATTCTACATAGAAGCGTTCTAGTGACCTAGAAATATAAAAACATAAGTTTTTGAATTTTAAAACACAGATTTTGATTGAACTGATAAAGACTTGCTTTTTATTAGCTTTTCCAGAACTTAGCAAGCTTTGGAAACAAAGTGTCTCATTGATATGTAATTCATGAAGCATCCTGTGCGTGCCATCATCATGTTCTGCCTGTGATTCACTGGTGGAAGAGTAATTGACACTGGAAGTTTTGAATTTGTGGCAGATGGCTTTATTCCCGTTTCAAAACACCGTACATGTTGGAAGCACATGGCAGCTTTCTTACACGAACGCAAAACTAAGATATCTAAGAGGAGGTTAAGGAGACTTCAATTAACATCAAAGTGTTTCTCAGGTACTTTTCCCTCTCGCTTGAGATCGAACAGGGGAGCTAAGCGCAAGTCGGGCAAAGCCGATGTCACCCAAGAAGGAGTGAAGCTAGATACTGCACAATTTGATTGCTATTTCAGGTAAACTGTGGTAACCTTGCTATATCCTCTGTGGCTTTCCATCCTGGGTCTATCGTTTGCCTAAACGTGCTGGAGAATGCAGCGATGTTTGGAGCCGTTTGTCTGAGGACAAGAAGAGTTCCTTTGCCTATCTGGAAAGCTTGTGGTTTTACATGTATATGCTACCAGGCTGGAAAGGGAAGGCCATTCAATGGATCAGGGATAGGGCAATTTTTAACAAGAGATATGTTATCGTTCCTATAGTTCTCTGGTAAGTGTAGTGTCGTTTGCTTTAGTCATTCGTATGAGTCATTTGATGTCAAATGACTCGTTTGTTAAAGAAAACGCATGAGTCATTTGGTCCATACTAATGTCAGAAATGATTATCGAGCCATTTTGAAATGTTTCATATCCATGAGTCATTTACAAATGACTCATTTAGTCCAAGTGTTCCAACTATGTCCTTGCCTATTTTATGTAAACCCACTTCTATCATTCTCTTTCTATCATTTGTTTTCTATGTCATTGCTCCGTCTTCTCTCAGAATTATTTTTCCTTTCCCCCCAAATTTCATTAGCGACGAAGAGGGTCATCTACGTAACGGTGTATCATTTTCGTTCACAAATACTACCATTTGTAATTAGTTAAAAATTCGAGACTTATGTAGGTATTATCTTTCATAAAAAAAAGTTAACATATAATTATTATTTAAAGTTAGAAAGTAATTGGTTGCAAAATGATTTTTGTTTAGGGTAAATGGCACATTTGGTCACTGAGATTACTAAAACATGTCACATTTAGTCACTTTCCCGTTAGTGTCCATCCAACTCCATTAACGGAGTTGGACGAAGGCTAACAAAGAGTGACTAAATGTGAAATGTTTCAGTAATTCGAGTGACATTCATAAGAAAAAAAGTAATTTGAGTGACCGGAGTTGCACGGAGGCTAACGCGAGAGTGACTAAATGTGACTTGTTTTAGTAATTCGAGTGACCAAAATTAATATTAATTTTTTCTAGTGACTAAATATAACACAATTTAGTATTCCCATTGACCAAATGTGGCATTTACCCTTTTTGTTTGTGTGGGAGGTTTTTATTAGAATAGGAAACTTCATGGGGCTTCGATGTTTTTCAATGGACTGGCTGTACAGCCAGCCTGAAATTTTCATATTGCGAGTTACTTAGATGTTTCAACTTGGCTCGTAGGGGTCATTGGAGCCTCCTAATCCTCTGCAACCTTGGTGAAAGTTTAGAGTCGGAGAATGGGAAACCATGCATGTTGTTGCTTGATTCGCTTGAAAATGCAGGTCCTGGGCGCATTGAGCCAGATTTAAGGAAGTGAGTTGGATCCTTTGGCTTTATTAAGTATCCTATCCTTTTTTAAAATTGCTAGATCAGCTATCAACTTATCTATTCTATGTTGTAGGTTTCTGTTAGATATTTACAGATCAGAGGGCAGGGCTGTAAATAAAAAGTTAATTCATCAGATTCCGTTGTTAATACCAAAGGTAACCACAAAATAACAACCTAATTGGTTCCTGGGATTTCAAGCTTCTATTTTTTTGGAGGGACGATTAGAACGTTTAATCTATAATGCATATGCTCTAGTGAGGGGAACTCTGTTGATCTTTGCAGGTACCACAGCAAAGGGATGATGTAGAATGCGGGAAGTTTGTTCTTTACTTCATTCATTTGTTTGTGCGAGATGCCCCAGAGAGTTTCAGCTTGGGGGACTACCCTTACTTCGTAAGTCATGTCTTGCTCATTGGCTTGGAAGACATACCTGTGTCCTATATCTGGTCTGACAGAGCCTTGTTCTTGAACCGCAGATGAATCGAACGTGGTTCACTCCTGACTGTTTGCAGCAGTTCTTTGAGGAATTGGATTTGGTTAAGAAAGCTGTCTAACACTTGCTTTGTATCCCCAAGCGTATCAACATTTTGAAGCTGGATAGTTATGTTCGTACAATATCTAACAAGCTGCACACTTGTCCATTATGTCTAGCCATGTCCTAGTGCGTCCAATGTTGCTATGACTAACTTTAGGTTTATAACTTAATCAAATCCCACGATGTAGCTCTGTATCTATAGTTAATTCGTATCCTGATATGTAAGCAATAGGTTGGGTATCAAGGGTTATATATGTTGGTAACGAGTTGTAATGACTGAACTTACCTTGCACACCCACGATGAAACTTGAGAACTGAGATGTATCGGATTGTTTATTCCTATTGGAAAATGAGTATTTGCTTATGTGCTGAATTGTTCCCTCCATCCCTCCATGTCGAGCTTTTGCAAACTGAAGCTAGATCAACTCAAGGAAAACCCAATGCCCAGATTTCCAAATACGCCACTACTGCAAAACCACACGCAGTAAATCACCTGGGTTTCACCCCACACGCCCCATGAAGATGAAGCACCTCCAGATCACCACCATATTGAGCATGGGCAGCCTCTCCCGAGCCTGCTTAAACTCGAGCATTGCCACATCTCTACCACCTACCAGACACTCCGAAAATAGGTGCTCAAGTGTCTGAGCCTCTACTCAAATAGCGCAAAATGGGAAAGGAAAACGCTTCTCACATTCTACTCCGTGGGCATGCAGTGACAGACCAGTAGGAAGAAACTGACGCAAGACCACCCAGATGAAGAACTCGAGTTTCGGCAGCACTGGCAACTTGTACACTCGTTCATAAATCCATGTCAAACATTGATATTGTCTCCACTTTTGCATACTATCATGTTTAGATTTAGTACAGACATCAATTCTGTTAAGTTGGTGAAGTGTAGTTATATATAACTGGAACTTTTAAGGTGCACTCATAAAACTGTGTGCGTACTTTACATCCAATCTAAAAGTAGCCTTTAAAGTTTAAAGTGCACTCATAAAACTTTGTTTGCTACTGTGTGCTGGATCTTATGAGAGAATATAAATGAGTTGGTCTTCGAGGGGAAGCTAGCAGAGATTACCTGATAGAGACCCGCTTGGCGGGTAGGGCGGGTTGGGTTCGGCAATGTGGGCCGGGTTGAGTGGCAGTTTTGTTATTTCTTGTTAGTTTTTCGAAACTCATAAAAGAGGGTTCAGTACGTTTATTTGAGATTAAGCAATAAGAATATCAAAATCCCAAAATCCCTCTTTTCTCTATTCTTCCCCAATTCTTCCTCCAATGTCTAATTCCTCTTCTCAATTTCCAACCCTATTCTCCTCTATCATTTGGTATTAGAGCCACCATGAGCTCGATACGGCTCTCTGATCTGGACTGGACATGTGTGAAGCAACAGATTGACGCCATCCGGGCTGACTAGGCTTGAACCGCGCGCAAACAGGGCAGAGAGGCTGTGGCTGCTGCGGCGGTGAGACGGCGCGAGGCGCCGCAGGCTGCGGCGGACGGCCGGCCGCGGCCGGCAATGGGAGGCGACTGCTGTGTCGCGGCGGCAGAGGCGGCGCGGCAGGCGTAGGCAGCGCGGACCAGGGTGGCAGACGGCGGGCCGCGGCGGTCGCTAACGGTGGGCGACAGTGGCGGCGTGGTGGCAGCGGCGGCGCAGCAGGGGGCCACGCCGCGGGGCGAGGCGGCGGTTGGGTGGTGCGCATCGTCGAGCGCGACTGTGGTGAGCGCGGCGACCGTGGGATCGGCAAGGGAAGGGGCGGCTCCGTCTCTCTCTCTCCATTCAGTGACCGGGCTACCGACACCGGGGACTCTCCGTTTCCGGGCTCAGATTGCCGGTACCATGGCCTTAACCTTGGTGGACAGTGGCACCACCCTGAACTTTATTAGCGAGGAGCTAGCCAAGCTTCTTCCGCAGGAGCCAAGCTCGATGGATCCGATGGTGGTCCGAGTGGCGAATGGGGCACCTATGCAGTGCAAGGCCGTCTACAGGGAGCTTCCGTTCGAGATCCAAGGGCTGCCCGTCACCACGGATGTGTTTGTGCTGCCCATTCGCGGGTTTGACATGGTTTTGGGTGTTCCATGGTTGCAGAGATTGGGACCAGTCACCACCTATTGGCGTAGCTTAACCATGCAATTCAAATGGCTAGATAAGGAGTGGTGTTTGCAGGGGCTTACCACGACCCTAGGACCGGTTTCTCTCCACGAGTGCGCCATCGGGGAGGAGGCGGAGTTGGCGTTCCTATGCTGGCCCGTGGCGTCGACTTAGGACCAGGAGCTGGCTCCCGACCACCAACAGGTGCTGGCAGGATTTCCGGAGCTCTTTCAGACACCGACCACATTACCTCCCCACCGATAGGTTGACCATCGCATTCAGCTCAAGGAAGGGGTGGAGGCTGTGAACGTCTGTCCATACTGATACGACCACTCCCAGAAGGAGGAGATCGAGCGACAGGTGGAGGAGATGCTCGCGACCGGCCTGATTCATCCGAGCACCAGCCCCTTTTACTCACCGGTGCTGTTGGTTAAGAAGAAGGATGGGACTTGGCGATTCTGCACGGATTACCGGGCACTCAATGTCGCGACGGTGAAAGATCGATTCCCGATTCCAACGGTGGACGATATGCTCGACGAGCTCCACGGATCGGCATACTTCACTAAGCTCGATCTACGAGCAGGGTACCACCAGATTCAGATGCAAGTGGAGGATGCGCACAAGACCGCTTTCCGGACTCATAATGGCCATTATGAGTACTTGGTCATGCCATTCGGCTTGTGCAATGCCCCCTCGACCTTTCAGGCGGCGATGAATGACATTTTTCGACCTCTATTGAGACGGTATGTGCTGGTATTCTTTGATGATATTCTAGTCTACAATCCATCTTGGGAGGTGCATTTGCAACATTTGCAGGCAGTGTTTGAGATCCTACGACGTCGCCAGTACTACCTCAAAGCTTCGAAGTGTGCGTTTGGGGTGCAGAAGGTAGAGTACCTGGGCCACATTGTCACACCACAGGGGGTCCAGGTGGATCAGTCAAAGATTCAGGCTATGGTCGAGTGGCCAACCCCGACCACTGTCTCGGAGCTGAGAGCGTTTCTGGGCTTGACCGGTTACTACCGGAAGTTTGTGCAGGGAAACAGTATGATCGCCCGGCCCCTGACTAACTTGTTGAAGAAGGGTGGGTTTGCATGGACACTAGAAGCAGATACGACATTTCAGCAGCTAAAGCAGGCCATGGCCACCACTCCGACCCTAGCCATGCCGGATTTCTCCCGGACTTTCGTGATTGAGGCGTATGCTTCGGCCCGAGGTATTGGGACGGTGTTATCTCAGGATCGTCACCCAGTGGCCTATATGAGTAAGACATTGGCTCCATCCAAGGAGGCTTGGTCTACTTACCAGAAGGAGATGCAGGCTATCATCACAGCAGTGCAGATGTGGCGACCGTATCTTCTGGGGTAGAAGTTCCACATCTCCACCAACCATCAGAGTTTGAGGAACCTCTTCGAGCAATGAGTTTCCACTCCCGATAAGCACAAGTGGGTCTCGAAGCTCCTTGGGTATGATTATGAGACTCATTATCGGCCGGGTCCCTCCAACGTCGTGGCAGATGGGCTCTCCGACGTTCTGGGACGAGGTACTGGCAGCAGTGACGGGGCCGGTCCCCCAGTTATGGGATGCACTGCGGGTTCTTAAGGAGACCGATGCATACAAGCAGGGTTGTCAAGATATAGCAGTCAGTGAGGCTCCAGGCCATTATTCCTTCCGACAGGGGTTGGTATTCTTCCGTGGGCGCCTTGTCCTTCCGCGGGGATCTTCACTGGTGACGACCGTGTTGCAGGAGTATCATGACTCTCCATTTGGAGGGCATTCGATGGTCGATAGGACACTGAGGCGGATCCGGGCACAGTTTTACTGGCCACTGATGAGCCAGGACGTGAAGGACTATGTCGTGTCGTGTGATACTTGTCAGCGGGTCAAGGCGTGTCATCTGAGACCGACAGGCCTCTTGCAGCCTCTGCCGGTACCCGAACGGGTGTGGGAGGATATCAGTATGGAATTCATCGTCGGCCTTCCCCCCTCCGGAGGAAAGACGGTCCTGTTCGTCGTCGTTGATTGACTGAAGAAATATGCCCATTTCATGGCCCTGGCACACCCGTACACAGCCCGGTCAGTGGCAGAGCAGTTTGTGATGGGGGTCGTGCGACATCACGGGTTTCCGAGATCTATTGTTAGTGATCGGGACTCCGTTTTCTTGAGCCGTTTCTGGCAGGAGGTGTTCACTATGGCCCAGACCACACTGTGGATGAGTTCCGCCTATCATCCACAGACAGATGGCTAGACGGAGGTGGTTAACCGTTACCTGGAGCAGTTTCTGCGCTGCTTTGCCCATCAGCAGCCGAGGCGGTGGTTGGCTCTGTTGCCATGGGTCAAGCTATGGTATAACTCTACTTACCATAGGGTGATCCAGACTACGCCGTTTGATGCACTTTATGGGAGGCCTCCACCTTCCTTGGTCCGCTACCAGAGTGGCACCAGCCAGGTAGATGCGGTGGATCGCTGGCTAGAGACACGGGATGAGGTATTGGAGCAGCTCAAGGCCAACCTGCCGGCCGCCAACAACAAGATGAAGCAGATGGCCGATGCAGGAGTTGGCAGCTCGTTACAGGAGTTGGCATCTCGTTACAGGTAGGCTTCGCCTCCACCCTTACAGGCAGGCTTCCGTCTTTCGCCGTGCCTACCAAAAGTTGGCAGCTCGTTACTTTGGGCCCTATGAGATACTGCAGAAGATTAACTCGATAGCAAATTGTCTGCAGTTGCCAGCCGATGTGCGCATCCTCCCACCTTCCACGTGTCGTTACTGAAGCGATACAAAGGAGCGGCGGACCGGGTGGAGACAACCGCTTCGCCGGTGTCAGCAGATGGGGATCTTGAGCTAACCCCCTTGCAGGTCCTGGATACCAGATGGGTGAAGAAAGGCGGGCGCCTGACGGAGGAGAGCTTGGTTCTGTGGCAGCATATGGAGAGGGAGGATGCCACTTGGGAAGAGACGGCCACGCTCCGGCAACGATTCCCGACATTTGACCTTGAGGGCAATGTCATTTCTGATGGGGAAGGGGATGATAGAGACCCGCTCGACGGGTAGGGCTGGTTGGGTTCGACCATGTGGGTCGGGTTGAGTGGCAGTTTTGTTATTTCTTGTTAGTTTTCCGAAACTCATAAAAGAGGGTTAGTAAGTTCATTTGAGATTAAGCAATAAGAATATCAAAATCCCAAAATCCCTCTTTTCTCTGTTCTTCCCCAATTCTTCCGCCAGTCCCTAATTCCTCTTCTCAATTCCCAACCCTATTCTCCTCTATCATTACCCATATCAA